TATTTACGCATGTATAGGCCGCGTGCGTGTATAGGCCGCAGCACAATTTTCAGACAGAAATTATAGAAAAAATAATTTTCTTGGAATATTATTTCAGGAGTAGAACACCCTGTNTACTAATTATGAATATATATTTTTTTAAATGAAGTGTGATTTCGAATATTTCGAACATAAGCCGCACCCCAGTTTTCCTCTTGAATTTTTGGCAAAAAATGTGCGGCCTATACATGCGTAAATACGGTAATTCAATTCAATTATTTATTATTTATGTGCCAAGCCAACAGCCACAAGGCCACTTACAGACAGAGCACAGTGTAGATACAGGTAGTTATATTATGGACAAACACAACATGAAGTCAAAGACAAATTACAAGTAAGTACTAGAGGTAAAAGACATTAATGCAGACAAGTAAACAAACAAACAAAGTAATAATAATTTCATTTTCTTTAGCTTAGGTCGTTTATCCAAGGAATCCGTTCAGGTCCGAGGCTTTGTGTTCATTTTCGTAACGTACTAATTTTTTACGGTGAGGAGTTGTTAGCCCCACGCCCAACCCCCAAGCTGGAGGACCACCCCTTGTCAGCTGTCCGCGACTGCTTGGTGATAATGTAGATACCATAAAGAAAAACATGCAAACTTTAATTCACGCAAGTAAAACGATTGGTCTAGAAGTAAACAGAGAAAACTAAGTATATGTTGCTGTCTCGTTACCAAAATGCAGGGCAAAATCATGACATAAAGACAGGCAACAGATGTTTTCAAAATGTGGAACAATTCAGATATTTGGGAACAACGATAACAACGAAACCTGATTCAGGAGGAAATTAAGAGGAGATTGAACTCGGGTAATGCTTGCTACCTTTCAGTCCAGAACCTTTTGTATTCTCGTCTGCTGTCCAAAAACATAAAAATGAGAATATACAAAACTATAATTTTGCCTGTGGCTCTGTATGGGTGTGAAACTTGGTCTCTGACATTAAGGGAGGAACATAGACTGAGGGTGTTTGAGAACAGGGCACTGAGGAGAATATTTGGACTGAACAGGGATGAAATGACGGGAGGTTGGAGAAAACTGCGTAATGAGGAGTTTCATAACTTGTACTCCTCTCCAAGTATAATTAGAATGATCAACTCAAGGAGGATGAGGTGGGCAGGGCATGTAGCACGAATCTGGGAGAAGAGGAAAGCATATAGGATATTGGTGGGAAAGCCAGAAGGAAAGAAACCACTGGGAAGACCAAGGCGTACGTGGGTGGACAGTATTAAAATGGATCTTAAAGAGATAGGATGGGATGGTATGGATTGGATAGATCTGGCTCAGGATAGGGACCAGTGGAGGGCTCTAGTGAACACGGTAATCAACTTTCAGTTTCCATAAAATTGTGGGAA